CGGTCCTAGCTTACCTAAAATTACAAAACTCAAGAGCCCAATTCATTGGCCTTTCGGCACCCACCCCACCACCTACGTAATGCCTTGGGCTCCAACTTAATAATGATAATGTAAAACTTAACAATTAACCTACCTATCGATACACTTACAGCGTTTTAATTTACATTACACGATTGTTCCTAGAATTACATTATTGCCCTTAACTACCTATGAAATTAAATTACTCTCAACCTTAGTAATAATAAATTAAAATGTGTAATGAAAATAAAATTACGCTCAAATACTAACATATGTGTTTATGTATTTGTGTGTGTGTGTGTGTGTGTGTAATACGCTGATGCGTGTAATGTGGGTGCAAGGAAAAAATAGAAGCGATAAACTTACGCGCCTACCTATTCAACTACATTAGTGTTGGATGCTTCTTATCTATCCTACCTACAATTAAAATTATGCCTATCTAACCTACCTATATAGCGACTTAATGTAATTGTGTGTATGTGCGTGTGCGTGTGAGCATTCTTACCTAATGTTAAATTACAGAGAAAAACAGAGAAAAGGAATAAAACGTATCCCAGCCAGACGTGTATTCTTTCCCACTGAATGAATGAATGTAGCCTGACATCTTCCATAATGAACTCCTCTGGAAGCTTCAACCTGAATGAAATGAATAAAATGAAAAAATTTCTATTATTTAATTAATTTAAATGAAAATAGAGAAACAAGCCAGGCTGAAACTCGCCAACCGGAAAAGCCAGCCAACTGGCAAAAAAGGAACCGCAATGAAACCGTAAAACGACATCACAACCATTCTGATCCACGATGAACTCCTCTGGAAGCTTCAACCTGAATGAATGAACCTGAATGAACCTAAATGAATGGAAAAATCTTATTTATTCAATTAATTAAATGAAAATAGAGAAACGCAAAGAAGCCGACCGGTCGGCAAAGAAAAGAACCTTAAAGAAAGGTATCTATATAGGATTTATGCTCTATATAACTCTATATAACTCTATATAACTCTATATAACTCTATATAACTCTATATAACTCTATATAACTCTATATAACTCTATATAACTCTATATAACTCTATATAACTCTATATAACTCTATATAACTCTATATAACTCTATATAACTCTATATAACTCTATATAACTCTATATAACTCTATATAACTCTATATAACTCTATATAACTCTATATAACTCTATATAACTCTATATAACTCTATATAACTCTATATAACTCTATATAACTCTATATAACTCTATATAACTCTATATAACTCTATATAACTCTATATAACTCTATATAACTCTATATAACTCTATATAACTCTATATAACTCTATATAACTCTATATAACTCTATATAACTCTATATAACTCTATATAACTCTATATAACTCTATATAACTCTATATAACTCTATATAACTCTATATAACTCTATATAACTCT